GTATATTTCTGAAATCCTGGGTTAGCACTCAATGCATTTACTCTCCCTGAATTCCCCAGGACACAGTGTGAAATCCAGACTGAGAGCAGAGATGGATTCTCAGCAGCTGATTGCCAGTAATTGATTTTTCTCAAAGCTGCTATGAGATGCACCCAAGCGTGGGTCATTGCCTGCTCCATCCAGCTGTAGTGAACAGCCCACAGATAGAGACCTTTAGTAGGTAAGCTGTGTATGTTCATTTAATTCCGTAGCACCTAATTAAAAATTTCCCCTTTGTGCATAAGCCAACATTGCTTAAAGTTTTGTCTAAGTAGGAGTCTCTTGCAACATTGCTTTTAGATGAGGACATTTTTACTACAACATGTTGGTTTGGGGCTTGGATGAGGCCAGAAATCTGCAGTATTTTAATTACACCTTGGAAAGAATAACTCTCCATGCTTGATAGCTGTGATTGAATAGAGAAGTCCCCAAACAGTGAGTGCTCAGTTAAGTAGGATGTTTATTGCTGTTGTTCTCTTTGAACATGCATAACGCTGTGAAATAAGTACCCTGCTTGTATTTCATAGCACCTTACTGTGGGAGCTTTCAATTTATCATCAGTAATAGAACTCCACGGAATCAGCAGCACTGGGAACATGTTAAAAACACAGGCCCTTTGCCTCCCTTCATTTTAAAAAGATCCTGGGGGTCAGAGAAGCCCCAACTTAGCATATTTTTTGAGGCTGAATGTGATTTTACAGCTTTTTAAAAATTATCTTTTCTAATCCAAATGGATGGAAGATTTTCATGACAAGAGGGAAAGTTATGAAGGGTAGAGGCATCCATGATTGTAAAATATATTTGTCTACAAATGATGCCTTATAAGTCAGAAAGCAATTTGCTTGCTATGTGATCTTAGGCACCCGTCCCTGCCCTTCTACAGACAGGTCATTATGTCCAAAGAACTCAATACCTGGCCTAATGCTGGGAACACAAGTAGATGTTCCAAGCACTGGAATGAGGGGAAAAATCTGCTAATCACTTCATGAGTTACAGCCACCCTTGGAGTTCAAGCTTGTGGCTCCTCTCCTTCATGGAGATTTTTTTCTTCCATTTTTTCATCTACTCGGGTTCTGTTGCCTGAGTCAATGTCAGGTACTTGATATTTAGCACGAATGCGCACACACACCTTTTATATGCCAGTTATTTTGTATCTCTGATACTAAAGCTACAAGAACCTGCCTCCTGTGTTTTGGATCACTTTTGCAGAGGAGGCTTTCGGACATTTGTACTAAGCATGTGTATTAAAATAATAATAGCCCTGCAGTGAAAAAAAATGCACACGTTTTCGTTTTCCTTTCAGCTTTGTTCCAAATTGCCAAAATTAATCCTGAGATCCCAATGGTTTCTCTATTGCTGATCCATTTATATTAAGGAACTTGTCTGCCGATAATATAAAGTGATTCTATAATTTTCAAATGAATAGTTATATCTTCACTGTTCTTTTGTTTCTATGCAATAATTTGGACAATTTTGTGATTTTCTTGGTAACATCACATGCAGGCTATTTTCCCACTTTAATGGTCCTTGTAGCTCTATTAATCAAATATGCACCAAAGACGTAAAAATTTGATTCCCACAACCATGACTGTATTCAAGACATCAATATGCCAGTTTAGTTCTGGCAATATTTCTAGTCAATGTTTTAAAATGCGGTTTTTCTGTATTGTTTTCACAAGTGGTCTCTAACTGTCCTAGAGATGGCAGCATTGAGCAACTTATTTTGGTAATCAGTTGCTTGCCGGGTCTGAATTTTCTGTTAGGTGTAAATTTTTCTTAGAGAGTATTTCATTACAATACACAAGACTAATTTAGGATAAGGTGACAAGATAATACATGTATCTGCTCAACATGACTTCACTTAGATTCCACAAAAGCCTACGTTCCTATTCTGTATATTCACATAAATCAAATGTGAATTTGCATTTCCAGAGTTATCTCAACCTGTGAATTAAAAAATGTAGAAAACCGAACATATTGTAGTATAATTTAAATATTAACTACCTCTAAGATTGGCAGTAAGATTTGTGTGTGTGTGTGTGTTACTGGGGATCCAACCCAGGTCCTTGGACACTTCAAGGTGTCTGTTCTGCTATAATAACAATTATTTTCATATCATCAAAGCCCTAAACTTTTGTGAAGATGACCTGTAAAAATTTTCCAAATTAAATTGTTCTTTCGGTTGTCCCCTCCTTCGAGAAAATAGTATATTTTCCTCATAGAGGTACATCCCTCCTCCCCCAACTTTTATTTGTTCTTGGTTGGGGGAGGGCAGGAAGGAAGTAATTAAAAAAATGAAAGTCTATGGATTTGAAGTGCTTCCCTATAAAATGAAAATTACAGGCCCCCTCCTGTAAAAAGTCCTTTTGGCCTAATCTAAACCTTGCTGTTGCTATCCAGCAGCTGTTTATTATCTTTCTTTTTTGTTTGTTTTGGGAGGGGTCTTGGGCAAAACCTCCCACTATTACTCTGCCACACTAACTTCAGGCATCTCTACTTCGCATTCTCCCCTCCCCCTACAGCACATCAAACCGTCAGAACCCGAGTCCTGCTATTGCTGCCTCGGTACCACTTCCAAATTACTTGCTATTTATAGCCTTGCTGTAGTGGGCACGTGTACCCGCATCACCAAGCTGTCAGAGGGAAAAAGGGAGGGCTTTCAGTTCAACATGTGTACCTAGATAATACATTAACCAGGTTGAAAAGAGCCTGCGTGATGAAGAAGGTGAAAAGAGACCCCGGAGGTTCCCAGGCTTTCGTGAGGGGGTGGCATCTGCAGATGTGGGATACCCCAATTCAATTACCGCAAGCCTCTGAATGGCGCCTGCACCTACGTCTGTACCCTCACCCTCTCTCCCCTTTACCGCATCTGTGCAAGACGGGAAAGACAGGCAACTCCACCAATCAGCAGGCTGCCCCAGGAAACTCACCCCGCCTTTCTCCCCCGCGTTAGACTGAGGCACGTTCCCCCCGCCCCTGACTCCCCCACTCCAGGCCCGGCGGTCTAGTGGATTGAGCATGCCCAGCACCTTCAGTGCTGCGTCTCCCTGCGAACATCCTGCAGTGCCAGAGAGCTAGAGGCTGAGGGGGTTCCTGGCGTAGAAAAGGAGGCGGAAACCCAGAACCACCCAGGGCTAAAGTGGGATGGCTTTAAGCATAGGGACCAACGTCACCTTTGTAGGTCTTTAATGCTAGTTGGGTAAGACAGGGACATCCTGCTTGATTTATAGGTCATCTTAATAAAAATTAAAAAAAAAAAAGAAAAAAGAAAAAGAAAAACTTTGGGGAGCGTCTGCTTGTGGCGAAACCGAGTAACAGGCTTTGCAACTAGGCTGCTGACCCGTTTTCATCAAGAAGTACTCTTTTTTCTTGTACAGCATAACCGCTTATCCTTATGGTCAAGGTTAAAAATTTATAGGGTCGTCCAGTGCGCGTGGAAACTATGAAACAAACATTTGCTAATATGTACACAGTAGGGATTTGGACTTAGGAACTCTCTGAACGTCCTTAACATTTTTTTTAAAATTACAAATAGACTTGAGAATGTGGTAAGGGGCGCCTTTTTTCTTCCGCCCCCATCCTTTGCCCTAATCCATAAGTATGAATCCCTGTTCACCTGCACGAAGGGAGTGAAATTGTGACATTTACAATTTATTTCTTCCCTAATTGACATGCCGCTAATCTCAATACTGCTAGGCGTGAGATCCCCAGTTTTGAGTCTGAGAGACCCTAACCCAGCAACAGTCATTGCCCTTGGGCATCCCTCAGTGTTCGCTCCAGGTGCTTCACCGCAGTACACCCGGAGATTCCAGGTGCAAGGCTGGCCCACAAGTCCTTCAGAAAACCTTACCAAAAAAAAAAAAAAAAAAAAAAAAATGTAGGTCTCCCCACCAGGGACTCTCACCTAGAAACCAAGATCCAGCTGGCTCCCGGGGATCGCCCTTACCTGTTGGGTGAGAGGCTGCGGGTCACCCGCGTCCCCTCCTCCCCAGCCCTCCTACTCGGGGTTCTGCAGCGGCTGCACACTCCCCCCCCCCCACCCCGCCCGCCAACTGCCCCCACCCTCACTCCTGCGTCTTCCCCAGATCGCCCCCTCCCGTTTTCCCAGACTCCCCTCCTGCTTTCCGGTAGCCACCCAAACACGCCCGCCCTCCCGCCGCGGGGATTCCTGCGGGCCGGGGGCGCCATGGGTGGCGCGGGCATGGGAGGCGCAGTGCCCGGGGCTCTGCCGGCCACGCAGGGGCGCTGCCTGAGCGCTGCAGCAAAGGCCCAGCGCCGGCGCCTCTGCGGCACGGCCGGGGGGTGGAGAGGGGCGGGCGCGGGGCGGGCTCGGCCCGGAATGTAGAGCGAGAAGGGAGAGAGAGAGAGAGAGAGAGAGACCCTGGCTGGAGCCTCCCGGCCGCGGCCCGACTGCAGAGAGCCGCGGCTCCGTCACGTGTTTTGCTCCTCCGGAGTGAGACGGCGGCGCGGTCTGGGGGCCGGCGCGCGGTGCCAGACGCCGCCGCCGCTTGTTTTGGTTGGGGCTCTCGGCAACTCTCCGAGGAGGAGAAGGAGGAGGAGGGAGGAGAGAAGTAACTGCGGCGGCTGCGCCTCCGGAGGACCGGGCGTCTTCCCCCCATCTCTTCCCAAACCACCCCCTCCCCGCCTCCCTCCCTCATCCCCCTCCCCTCCTCCCTTGCGGACTGGAGCTTGGGGCAGGGATGAGTCTGTCCCTCTGGACCGTCCCCTGCTCCCTTGGCTGCCCAGTAGCGTTGCGCGTGGAAAAGCCACTTTCCCCGCCCGCCGAGATGGGCTCGAGTGCGGGCTGCAGAGGACGCGTCCTCGGGCGGCGGCAGCAGCAGCAGCAACAGCCGCAGCGCCGCGGTCTCTGCGATTGAGCTGGTATTTGGGCGGCTGGTGGCGGCGGGGACGGTTGGAGGGTGGGAGGAGGCGGAGGAGGAGGAGAAGGAGGAGGAGGGAGAACCCCGTGCAACGTTGGGACTTGGCAGCCCGCCTCCCCCTGCCCAAGGATATTTAATTTGCCTCGGGAATCGCTACTTCAGAGGGGAACTCGGGAGGGAAGGCGCGCGCGCCTGAAGGGCCAAGCTGGGACTCCTCGGTCGCCGCTGCGTCCCTGCACCGCACTTGACCAGGGGCGGCGAGGGATGCATCTAAGCTTCTTCTCGGCTGCAGAGACTCGGGGGAGACTTGGTCCTCAGAAGATCGTGCCTGGACTCACCCTAGACACACTGCCTTCCCCTCTGGGCATGAAACGCCCTTAAACTCGGGTCGGGCAGTCTTCCTTGGCGCAGCTACCTCGTCCTTCGGCTGCCCCTCCCCAGCGCCGGGAACAGCGAGGATTTCGGAATCAGGGTTTCTGCTTCCTCCAGCCCCGAGTGCATGTGCGGGGCCGCATCGAGAAGCCTCCCCCCACCCAGTTTTTCGGCACCTCCCTCTGCTCCGCAGCAGCATGGCGAGCCCTCCGGATACCGATGGCTTCTCCGACGTGCGCAAGGTGGGCTACCTGCGCAAACCCAAGAGTATGCACAAGCGCTTTTTCGTGCTGCGGGCAGCCAGCGAGGCCGGGGGCCCGGCGCGCCTGGAGTACTATGAGAACGAGAAGAAGTGGCGGCACAAGTCGAGCGCCCCCAAACGCTCGATCCCCCTCGAGAGCTGTTTCAACATCAACAAGCGGGCTGACTCCAAGAACAAGCACCTGGTGGCTCTCTACACCCGAGACGAACACTTTGCCATTGCGGCAGATAGCGAGGCTGAGCAAGACAGCTGGTACCAGGCTCTTCTGCAGCTGCATAATCGAGCAAAGGCCCACCATGACGGGGCTGGAGGCTGCGGTGGTAGTTGCAGCGGCAGCTCTGGCGTCGGAGAGGCAGGGGAAGACTTGAGCTATGACACGGGCCCAGGACCTGCGTTCAAGGAGGTCTGGCAGGTTATCCTGAAACCCAAAGGCCTGGGTCAGACAAAGAACCTGATTGGCATCTACCGCCTCTGCCTGACCAGCAAGACCATCAGCTTTGTGAAGCTGAACTCCGAGGCAGCGGCTGTGGTGCTGCAGCTGATGAACATCAGACGCTGTGGACACTCAGAGAACTTCTTCTTCATCGAGGTGGGGCGTTCCGCCGTAACAGGGCCCGGCGAGTTCTGGATGCAAGTAGATGACTCCGTTGTAGCCCAGAACATGCATGAGACCATTCTAGAGGCCATGCGGGCCATGAGCGATGAGTTTCGCCCGCGCAGCAAAAGCCAGTCTTCATCCGGTTGCTCTAACCCCATCAGTGTTCCCCTTCGCAGGCACCATCTCAACAATCCTCCACCCAGCCAGGTGGGGTTGACTCGCCGATCTCGCACCGAGAGCATCACTGCCACCTCCCCTGCCAGCATGGTAGGTGGAAAACCAGGTTCCTTCCGGGTGCGTGCCTCCAGTGATGGCGAGGGCACCATGTCCCGCCCTGCATCAGTGGATGGCAGTCCTGTGAGCCCTAGCACCAACAGGACCCACGCCCATCGGCATAGAGGCAGCTCCAGGCTGCACCCCCCACTCAACCACAGCCGCTCCATCCCTATGCCTTCTTCCCGCTGCTCACCTTCAGCCACCAGCCCAGTGAGTCTGTCATCCAGTAGCACTAGTGGCCATGGCTCCACCTCAGACTGTCTCTTCCCGAGGCGCTCTAGTGCTTCCGTGTCCGGTTCTCCTAGTGATGGCGGTTTCATCTCCTCTGATGAGTATGGCTCCAGTCCCTGCGATTTCCGAAGTTCCTTCCGCAGTGTCACCCCAGATTCCTTGGGCCACACCCCACCAGCCAGGGGTGAGGAAGAGCTGAGCAACTATATCTGCATGGGTGGCAAGGGAGCCTCCACTTTGGCTGCTCCCAATGGTCACTACATTTTGTCTAGGGGTGGCAATGGCCATCGCTACATCCCAGGTGCTAGCTTGGGGACAAGCCCAGCGTTGACTGGGGATGAAGCCACCAGCGCAGCAGATCTGGATAACCGGTTTCGGAAGAGAACTCACTCCGCAGGCACGTCCCCTACCATTTCTCACCAGAAGACCCCCTCGCAGTCTTCAGTGGCTTCTATTGAGGAGTATACGGAGATGATGCCCGCTGCCTACCAACCAGGAGGTGGCAGTGGAGGCCGACTGCCCAGCTACCGGCATTCCGCCTTCGTGCCCACCCACTCCTATCCCGAAGAGAGTCTAGAGATGCACCCCTTGGAGCGTCGTGGGGGCCACCACCGTCCAGACACTGATGATGGCTACATGCCCATGTCTCCAGGGGTGGCTCCAGTGCCCAGCAACCGTAAAGGAAATGGGGACTATATGCCCATGAGCCCCAAAAGTGTGTCTGCCCCACAGCAGATCATTAACCCCATCAGACGCCACCCTCAGAGAGTGGACCCCAATGGCTACATGATGATGTCTCCCAGTGGCAGTTGCTCCCCTGACATTGGAGGTGGGTCCAGCAGCAGCAGCAGCGGCGCAGCCCCTTCTGGGAGCAGCTATGGGAAGCCATGGGCAAATGGAGTAGGGGGGCACCATCCTCATGCCCTGCCTCATTCCAAACCTCCTGTTGAGAGTGGTGGTGGCAAGCTCTTGCCTTGCACAGGCGACTACATGAACATGTCACCAGTGGGAGACTCCAACACCAGCAGCCCCTCCGAATGCTACTACGGTCCAGAAGATCCCCAGCACAAGCCAGTCCTTTCCTACTACTCATTGCCAAGGTCTTTTAAGCACACCCAGCGCCCCGGGGAGCCGGAGGAGGGTGCCAGGCACCACCAGCATCTTCGTCTCTCTTCTAGCTCTGGACGCCTTCTCTACACTACAACTGCGGAAGATTCTTCCTCTTCGACCAGCAGTGACAGCCTGGGTGGGGGTTACTGTGGGGCTAGGCCAGAGTCTGGCCTCCCTCATCCCCACCACCATGTCTTGCAGCCCCATCTGCCTCGAAAGGTAGACACGGCTGCGCAGACCAACAGCCGCCTGGCCCGGCCCACAAGGCTGTCCTTGGGGGATCCCAAGGCAAGCACCTTACCGAGGGTAAGGGAGCAGCAGCAGCAGCAGCAACAGCAGCAACCTTCGCTGCACCCTCCGGAGCCCAAGAGCCCAGGGGAATATGTGAATATTGAATTCGGGAGTGGCCAGCCTGGCTATTTAGCTGGCCCTGCGACTTCCCATAGCTCCCCTTCAGTCCGATGTCCACCCCAGCTCCACCCAGCTCCCAGAGAAGAGACTGGCTCGGAAGAGTACATGAACATGGACTTGGGGCCAGGCCGGAGGGCAACCTGGCAGGAGAGTGGTGGGGTTGAGTTGGGCAGAGTAGGCCCTGCACCTCCAGGGGCTGCTACCATTTGCAGGCCAACCCGGTCGGTGCCAAGTAGCCGCAGTGACTACATGACCATGCAGATAGGTTGTCCTGGTCAAAGCTATGTGGATACCTCCTCAGTGGCCCCAGTCAACTATGCTGACATGCGGACAGGCATTGCTGCAGAGAAGGTGAGCCTGCCCAGAACCACAGGGGCCGCTCCCTCTTCATCCTCCACAGCCTCTGCTTCTCCTGCTGCACCTCAAGGAGCAGCAGCTGAGCAGGCTGCTCCCTCTTCCCTGCTGGGAGGCCCTCAGGGACCTGGGGGCATGAGTGCATTCACCAGAGTGAACCTCAGTCCCAACCATAACCAGAGTGCCAAAGTGATTCGTGCAGACACTCAAGGGTGCCGGAGGAGACATAGCTCCGAGACCTTCTCAGCACCTACTCATGCTGGCAACACGGTGTCCTTGGGAGCAGGGGCTGCAGTAGGGGGCAGTGGTGGTGGCGGCGGCGGTAGCAGCAGCAGTGAGGATGTAAAGCGCCACAGCTCGGCATCATTTGAGAACGTGTGGCTGAGACCTGGGGATCTAGGGGGAGCCTCCAAGGAGACGGCTCCAGTGTGTGGGGCTGCTGGGGGTTTGGAGAAAAGTCTTAACTACATAGACCTGGATTTGGCCAAGGACGTTAAACAGCGCCCTCGGGAGTGCCCTTCTCAACAGCAGCCCCTACCGCCCCCTCCCCCTCGCCAGCCCTCAGGCAGCAACGAGGGCAGCTCCCCCAGACGCTCCAGTGAGGATTTAAGTACTTATGCCAGCATCAGCTTCCAGAAACCGCCAGAGGACCGTCAATAGCTCAACTGGACATCACAGCAGGTGCGTTTTATGGTGGCAGAGTCAGAAGATAAAAGTACATGTACCTGGGTGCTTGAATTCTGTTCTTTAACTGTCCCTTTTCACTCCTTCCCACGGTGTCCTTGGGGAGGATACACTTTCAGGAGGTGGGGGTGTGTGGGTCAGGGTACACAGATGCTCACCCCACAGTGACACCTGGCAGAAAATGTGTTGGAGCAGCCACAGAAGGGCTTCTGTATTTGAGAATTCCCAACTGAAGCACCTGTCACAGCATTTTAAAACTTAACATTCTCTAAAACCTGTCCTGAGGCTTGTCAAGAATCATTTTCTTCATATCAAAGTTTTATTTTGAGTAAATATTAAGGCCAGACCTTAGTAGGGACAATTCTACAAAAATACTTGCTAATACAAAACCTAAAAAGCCCTCATTTAAGATCCTGTCTCAGAGTTCTGAAGGGCAAGCTCGCTGAGTGGCTGTGTGCACTTTTGTTTTGTGATTTCACAATACCAAAGCAGTGTAAACAGCAGCGACTTTTATTCAGGCTGTCTTAAAAAGATCCATGAGTAAGAGCTTTTTTAGGCACAAGTATTTAGAAAGAAATTCTTACCTATCTCAGGTCTCCAAAGAAAGTAATTGTGGGGGATATTTTCTTTTTGTTCTTGTACTAGAATTCATGAAATGTTTTTCACACATAGACCTACCATCTTGCAGGCATGGCTGCTTTTGTACAGAATATGCAATAAACACCATGTGCCTGAGACGCATTAATGAGTTAAGAGTTATGGAAGTTCACCTCAGACTTTCTACCTTGTAATTCCGTTTCTTGTACTAAGGCATCACACATACCATTTGGGGGCTACTGTACATTTTTCCTGTAAGATTACTTAACATTTTTCTAGTGAAATGAACATCAATGAGGCATCAAGTCAGGGTAAAAAGGGCATTTGTTTTGGTGTGTGTTGAATGGGGCGGGGGACTGTGTGGTCTTCATTTGTAGGGTGCTTGCTTTCCTTTTAGTTCATGAGTAGATGCCTCAGAGATGTTGAAAGTTGGCTTTAGGTCATCTGTGGCCAAGGCTGTACTGAAAATGAGAAACATTTGTAATAGGAAATTAGCCTGTCCTTCGTTCTGGGAGCCTGTTTTCTGGTGGTCATTGTGGGGAGAGGACTGTCGTTCCCAGATAATGTGATGAGTTGGCAAATCAGAACTTTCCAGAATTGGAAGCAGTTTATTCTGACAAACTGATTACCTTGTGAATTTTATATATGCCTCACAGAAAGAGCATTTGGAAAGTATTTGTTTTTCTTAATAAGTCTCTGTTCATAAGAAATTAATTTGTGCCTTGGGCTTTTATCAATAGGAAATAATAACAGGGTGATTATGTGGTCAAAATGGTCCTGATTCTGCCTCCAACAACTATCATTCTTTGTTTTGTTGGACCAAATAGAGGCACATGAACATTAAAACTAAGATTTTACGTGATTTTTAAGAAAGCATCTATTTATTCAATATGTGCTTTTATCACTGGGGCAGAGAGATTTTTAGTGTATTGTTGTCAATATAAAATTCTTGATTATTTTTACCGTGATTTTTGAGGGTTGGGACTCCTATAATACTTGCATTGTAAACTGCTTACTTACTTCATAAGGTAAGAAGAGCCTGAAGCAAACAGATCCAGCAAAACTCAAATTTGGGCTTTACAGGAGGTAAAAGAAGAAAAGAAGACCCCCCCCATTTACTTTCTTACTTTGTATAGCTTTTGTTTTACAAAGTAGAATAAGCAGTGTTTGGTCTTTTGAAGAAAAAAATGAAATGACCAAACAATCTCCATTGTTTAAAAAGGAATTTAAAAGAAAATCCTGCTTATGTGGAAAACACACACACACACACACACACACACACACACACACAAATAAATCCCTCCCTTCCTTCCCAAGACTTTAATGCTCAACTTTCCGTTCTTAACTTTCTTAGAGAAAATACGATAATCCAGAGAAATCAGTTCTGTCTGTTACATTGCTGGAATAGCAATAGATAGGCATTTCCAAATGTCAGAAGCAGTCTTCTACGATGTGTATCTAAGTTTTAAGTGTGTGTGTGTGTGTGTGTGTGTGTGTGTGTGTGTGTGTGTGTTCTTCAAGCAGAGCACCTAGTGCTACCTGGTGCTTGTACACCCTCAATTGTGCTTGCTTTTGCTGAGTTTAAAGGTTTTATTTGCTAGTCAGTTATCATCAGAAGCTGGGCGCAATCAGATCTGCCAGTGGCAAACAGCTTCTGCTCACAGTGAGTTATCAGTTAGCTATTGTAACCTCCCCTGCCTTTGCTGTCTCTGCTGCTACTTCCCGTCTTAGAAAAAAACCCTGAAACATGGTTAAAGGAATACGGCTGCCACGAGGGATGTGTGTGCGTTCTGGGAGCCCCTCTTAGACATCTCAGCTTGTTTACTTTGTTTCAATGTCAGTTCAAGGAGAGCGATTAGGAGAGAGGAAGAGAAGCATTTAGCTCCTGTGCTCAGGACTTGACCGATTCAACAACCATCTTTTCTGTGTCTCCCTGTGTTCTCTGGTGCATGTCAGGGTCACCTCCAACTTAAGTTCTGAACTGCTAGATTGTGCTGTGGAAAGATCACCCCTTCCCCTGTTCCTTTGTCCCCACCTTCTAGTGCATGGTCATGGCATTGGTACAGTCATTGTGGCCTACTGTATGTACCCAGAGCCTAAAGAGGAGGGCTAAAAGAACCCTCTGGGCCTAAACACGACCGTCCAAATACCTTTAACCAGCATTTGCCTAAGATTTGACTTGACTGTTGAAACTGCAGCCTGGCAGCCAGAGCACACTTTTGCTGACACAGACTGGAGTCATACCTCCCGGGGTCTTTTTTTTTTTTTTTTTTTTTTTTCATCCTTTTGTTAAGGTACCCTTAAAAAGAGAATTTTACCATCGTTTCCGACCCTGTTTTTCCTCTAGGACTTCATGCCTCTCTTTACCCCCTCCCTCGATGCTCTCCACCCCATGGCCTTTGGAGCTGGCGCAGACCCCGCGGGCCCTGGCACTTTCCCTTTTCCCGGGTCACCTCCGCTTCCTGCCTGCGTCTCCCCTTTGCTTGGCTCTTGGCCCCCCTCTTCCAAGCCTCCTTCCGCCCAGGAGTTGGCGCGAGGAGGTCGTCCAGGCTCCCGCCCCCGCCTGGCTCGGTCCTCCCGGGACACGGGGGGCCCCCTTCCCAGGCCTCGAGGTTGGCGGTGGCAGTCGAGCCCCCGCCCCTCGGCCGGCGGGCCAGACGCCGGGTGCCGATTGGCTCTTGTAAGAGCCAATCAGCATGAGTGATGGCCGGGGCGGGGGCAGGCTGGGGCCTCGCTGGGGAAGCTCTCTCACCCCTCCCGGTGCTGCAGAGCTAATCCAGGTTCTCCCGCCCCCAAGCCTAGGATACGGATGCGCTTCATCTCTAATGTATCTCTGCCAGAATCCTAAAAATGAACAAAAAGCACAGCAGCGGGCTGACAGAGGCCGGAAACACCTCACTTCCTCTTCTTTTTAATTGACAAAAATTCAGGCCGCGACCATGTGACATGCCCCATTTTGTTTCCCTCCTGTCTTTACTATGGTTTACTACGACGACGCCGTTCCTTCATCCTCCCACTCTAGTGTGCAAACAGGAGCGAGCGGCAGACGGCACGTGGTGTGGGATTGACTGGGCTGGCTCCCGCTTCTCACATTTATGTCTCTTGCTAAAGGGGAGGAGAAGGGAGAGACACAAGCCTTGCTTTGGGGTCATTCTAAGGAAAACTCCTTTGCCTTGAAAGAGCCCGAGGCTCTTTCCAGTAACTAACAATATACACTTTATTGAGCACCTGCCGCTTCAAACGCACCTGAGCTGGATAAGATCAAGGAAAATTGATCCTCCCTACTTCTCTTGTGAGGGAACCCAGAGAGTAAGGGAACCTTAGGCTACAGTTTGCACGTTGTAAGTGTCTGAAGATTCATTAGAAACGCTTGAAGAGTGTATAGTGTGTTCCTTTACCAAGATTTTGAGGACGAGTGGGTGTGTTTTTCAAACGTTTGGTATTTGACCAGTGACATCCCACCAAGGCAGTCTGGGTTGGTTGTTAAGGCTTGCTCTAATTGTATTGCGACCTCATAACGAAATTTCATGAGATGTATTGTTATAGGGATGAAAAAGGAAAGAAAGAAAACTATGGGAGTATCTTCTACTTCCCTTACTCCCAAAAGGGTTTCTCAGCAACCAGCATCTCTCTCCATCACTGACTCATAAGTCACAGGGGTAACGTTTTTCTGAGGTGCCCACGGAAAAAGCACAGGTGAAAATCAATGTGCTGACAGCTCCGGTATGAAAGAACTCAAATTTCCTGAGATCAGCAGAAAAGAGATACTGCAGCATCTAACTTTTTATTGTCTGCCATTGTTTAGGTTGCCTATATTTTTAAAAGTATATCCCTGTATAATAACCATTTACGTGAACAACCCTAATATTGCCTTACAGGGAAGAACTTGAGCTCCAAACCAGCATGCTACTTCTTAAACTTTTTTTTTTTTTCCAGTTTATCAGAATTCCTGGAAAATCAGTTTGTGCTATCTCGAATGATGCAATGGAAAAAAACTGTTCCCAGGAGTAAGATCTTGAGTTCTGGCCTCGTGACCTTGATCAAGTCACTTAATTTCCCTTGGTCTATTTCCTCATCAGTAACTGGAGAAGTTTGTTCCACATTGTTCTAATCTTTGCAGCTCTAAACATAGGGATGTTTTGGAGCAAATGACTGATACTCTTTAATGAGTCATATGTACTGAGCATTATTTCTCCAGAAGCCGTAGTTGGGGGTCATAGTAAAGTGCACTGGGATGCTCTAAGCTGTGCTGTTCTTACATATGTGTCAGATCCTCTGTTTTTGTTTCTGTGAGACAAGGTTTCTCTGTGTAGTTTTGATGCCTGTCCTGGATCTCGCTCTGCAGACCAGGCTGGCTTCGAATTCACAGAGTTCCACTTGGCTCTGCCTCCTGAGTGCTG